AATTAGCACCATTCGTATGAAACAAAAACACCCATTATTTAGTTCAGAGCATTTGTATTACTACTACTACTACTACATTTGATTTACTATAATAGAGTTTGTAGAGAAGGGGGTGGTCCTTTAGACATTTGAAGCCTCAGTTTTTTGGGGCTTTAAACATTAACATAAGCACCTTGGATTTAGTCCCAGAAATGAATTGGCAACTATTGTAGGGTTGCCATGTGCCCTCTTTTTCCAGGACATGTCCTCTCAGGGGTAAAATTTGAGACAAGTTGCATTTATTTGCTTTTAATGGCCATCATAGTGTCCTCTTTTTTGCTCTTTAAAATATGGCAACCCTAAACTACTGCCCTAGATTTAAAATATGGGTTATATGGATCCTAAATTGAACCCCAGCTAATAAGCTGGCTGCTGCATTTAGGATCAGTTTTTTTAAAAAAGATTTCTGTCTTCCTTTTGAAGGACCGTTTTTTCTTGTGGATGGGAAAAATGGGAATTAACCTCTCCTTGTATTTATATATTTAGGGTTATTGATTGGTAGTTCCATGTGATCCTTCAGAACTGATATGTTCGTGTCAAGGCCTAATTGCACAAATCCATTCCCGAATAGATTTTTCAGATGATTAATCACACCAGGCCTTGCAGAACTCTTTCAGTTTATTGAGGCAAGAACTGTCTTGGCACATCTGAACTCCAGAGCTGTCAGATGGAGCTCTTGTTTGTGGGGAAGCAAAAACAGAAGGGAGACTAAAGGAAGAGCAAATAATGTCTCCTATGTTCCTGGGCAAATTAGCAAGGAGGCCAAGTCTGAAGTTTGTAGAGGGTTATGGAGAATCATATGATGTCTTCTGGACCTTTTATTGGAAGAAAGCTTCATTGCCGAGTGTGGCTAGGAATGGGGCAAAAAACAACAACCCTTGTTTGCCTCAGAAATCATCTGGGCTTTGTAACCATTCATTGTGAGTACAGTGGTACCTTGGTTCTCGAATGGCTTGGCTACTGAACAAATCCACTCCTGAATGCCGCAAACCTGGAAGTAAGTGTTCTGGTTTACCAACATTTTTTGGAAGCTGAATGTCTGACACGGCTTCTGCTTGAGTGGAGGAAGCTCCTGCAGCCAATCAGAAGCCACGCCTTGGTTTCTGAACGGTTTGGGGAGTTGAATGGACTCCCAGAACGGATTAAGTTCAAGAATCAAGGTACCACTGTACTTGAAAAAACTCTAAGGGGGTTGTGGGGAGCTGAAAGGCCTAGTACAAAACCCAGATGGCAGACCTAGCTAGACCATTGCACATTCACCCCGAATTATTTGTACAAAATTTGTGCAGAGGTTACATGCCATTGTCATGTAGTGGGTGTTTTCCTGTGAAATCTTTTTTTGTCGCTTTACAAACTATCCACACAGAAATAAAACCCATGGAGATCGTCCCCCAAATGTTCACAAAAATGATATGGACCTGTTACTGAACATATGTGGAAGTGGTAGGAGGAGGGACAAGCTTTTCTAGTGGTGTTTTCCATCCCTATAGCTTTGTGGGCATCCTTGAAACCACTTCCTTGCATTAAGAGGTTATTTTTTTGCACTCCTGCTGCGCTATTTCTGCTTGCCAAAAGTGAGTGTGGAATCTTGATTTGTGGAACCGTCTGATGGGCCCATTGCATATAGGTTTCCCTCTTACAGTTTAGTTTTTAGATGCAGACAGGAAAGTCAGTTTTTGTTGCCTTTTCGTAGCACTGCAAGTGTGTCATAGATAAAACCAACCTAGATAGCTCCATTTTGAACTCCAATCACATATGACTATTAATCATTTTTATTGCCAAGTGCTAAAAACAGATATATGAATCATTTTGAATTAGGGGAGATCAGCCTGGAACTATTTCTTCATTACCTGTGTCACATCTTTCTGAGGGTCAAAGATGTCCAGTGAATTAAAAATAATAATAATAGAGATACTTAGCTCACCTTTGTACCTTTTGTCTTCAGCAAAAGACTGAAGTTGAGGAACATCAGTGCTAGCTAAGCATTATATGGCACTTTTCATCTTTAAAGCAATTTTGGAGCATTAGCTAATTAATCTGCATATCACTCTAGAGAGATAAATTGAATATCATTATCTTCAGGTTTTGACTGAAAAGCTCTGTGAGGGCTCCCTGTGAAATCCTGTTTTATAATTTTTCCTGAGGTTCCACAAAGGACAAAAGTTGTAGTTAGACAAAGCTATGCGAGAGAGCCAAATACACAGCCAGAGGTGCCTTCAAATATTCTACTGCTGTCACTTGCATGTCTGAACAGTGGATACACAAGGTAATATATGCTTGTGGATCTTGCATGCTTTCCACATCCCTTTTTTATTTTTTTAAATGCAAGTTACTGGACAGCATACTCTTGGGGGTTCTAACCTGTCATTAAACTCTCTTCCCATGGAGACAGACCAAATCCTATGGTGGGATGGGACAGGGAGAGATTCCATGGTGGTTGCTCTGCCACGTCCAAAACCCTGTCCATTTGATGTGGCCAAGATGGGAAGGATGGGAAGGAAATTAAATAAATCACCTTCAGGGCAGGTGCAGTTATGGGTTCAATCTATGGAAGCACCAAGGTAGTGAGAGGGTTTTGAATACTGTGGGTTAAATGGTGCCCCCATCCCACACCCAGCATGCCACAGAAAGCTCTGTTTGAGGTCCTTCCACAATTGAAATTCTACTGGCAGCATATCTACACTGGTAAGCCTTTCTGCCACCATATTGAGGTCTCCTCTGTGATAGTACGTGCTATCGCAAACAGTGGAGCTCTTCTCCACTGGTGAAGCAGCATTTATGCCACTTCCAATGGTGGCCAGCTAGCCTGTGGCCTTTAGAGTTGCTCTACCCAGCCTGCCAATGCATTGACACATCTTGGTGGGTATAAACAAGCAATCATACAAGGGAGGACCAATCACATGGATCATTGCAAACCAACAGAGACTAGACTGGGTGATGGTGGCAGCAGCAGCAGCAGCAATGAGCAATTGCTCCTGCTAGAGCCGTGATTCCCAACATGGGGCACACGCCCCACAGGGGGGCAGTTTGATTTTTAAGGGGGGGAAATCCGAGAATGAGTTAGACCAAGTTAGTGGCCTTTTAGGCTTCCTCCACGTGAATAGGAGTTCAATTTTGAATAATAAGAATTATATGTTTGGGGGGGGTGCATCAGGATTTTAGAGATGCTTAGGTGGGGCATGGCCAAAAAAAGGGTTGGGAACCACTGCTCTAGAGGGAGGCAGAAATCCCAAGATATGGTTAAAAACACATTTGGCCACTACCTTGAAGTTCTGGTCAATGCTGGGATGGTTGACCACTTGGAACCACATCCAAGGATAAGTGAGGAAAATGTTTCTCTATCCAGAAGATCAAGGAAAATAGGAGAGGTTAGAAAGGGAAACATAAGAGGAAGGATTCTAGAGGAATATCAATGAATGATGACGAAGACAAAGATGGGCAGAGATAAGATTTGTACATGGTCAGAAAATGGAGAAATGATAAAGTAGACGAATCAAACTGCAATAATCAGCCCTACCCCAAACTACAGGTCTCTAGCTCTATGTATGATGTGGGAAGTTCTGGAGCAAAAAGGACCACTATCAGCACATCAGAATGTGTTAAAATAGACAGTTAACAATAAAATATGACTGGCTATCAAGTTGGCTTCTTTCCATCTTTTTTATCTTTGTGGAAGGAGAGAAGCTGTTGAGGTAAAAATTTTATCTGCCCTGTCTCCACGTGAATAAAAGCTGCCTCGATAACATCTGGAAATTTGTAAGTGGAAGCCATGGGGAACAGCTTGCTTGAGAACATTATCTATTTAGCATTTGTTTCACACAGACTCACGGGGTGCTCCACTTCAAATTATTTCCCTTGTGAGAGAAAAGCTTTCTGTGAACAAGTCTTCCCTCCTTCTTCATTGCTACTCCCTCCTGAATGTTTTTTGTTTTTTTTAATGTTCCAATCGTTTCCACTTACTCCCTGAAAATGACAATTGTTGAGATGTGTTCCTTTTCTTCTCTGGTATATATTCCGGTTGTTTGATCCCAGTAAAATAGTCTAGTGTTGATTGCCTGTGAATATTGTTTATTACTTGTGAAAGTGTGGGAGCAGGAAAATAGTGGGGAAAGTATCACATCTGTAGAGGCTGACAGGAATCGGGAGATATTATCTTAATGCTGCATTGTGTTCCAGCAGGGTAATGACCTAATTAGACTGAGGTACATGAAAATATATTCTTTCTGAATGCACGAACAACGCAGAGAGTAATGAACAATCTCTGGGAACTCTGATGGCTGCGTGTTAAAAGTGTTAATCTAATCAATAAAAACCGAAGGTCTGGAAGCAGTGCTCAATCTAAGCAGTCAAACCTTTCCAGAACATTGCCACTGAAATAAATATTTAGTGGCTCTACACTGAAGGTGCCATTCTTCTGACAGGATGAGTTTCATGCCTCATGGCACAAAAGTTATGAGATTTCAGTTGGTAATCAAAGAATAACTCCACATTTTTCACAGCAAAAAGACATTGCTTCTTTTCTTACTGACATATCTATGATGAAATGAAACTTTTTTCTTTTTGACACAGAGAGAAGAAGAGGAGAACAAACTGCAACACAGCATCCCAAGGATTATTACAAAGTGGACTTGAAGTTTAAAGTAAATGGGTTTTGGCTATGAAGTAACATGTACAGTGATGCAGCACACAGAGCTTTGAATCTGAATTTTAGAGCAGGATTAAGTTATCTCATTCTTATGATGGGAAATACTTTTTTCACGTTGGAAAACATTTGGGTATATGATTTGGAAGGAAGGAGATGTACCTGCACACCCGACTTCCCCAAAATAAACTGACAAACTCAGTTAGTTGTATTTACCTAGGACCAAAGAACTGCACCAGCATAATTGGAAGCTAGAAAAATTAGGAAAGGAGAAGGTCAATAGGCCATGTTGTAGGAATGGAGACCTTAATGAAGCGAAATCAAATTTTCTGCCACTGAGTTTTGGTCCTATAGAATTTATTTTGATTAAGAGCAATAATTTTAAATCAAAGGAAATTCTATAGGACCATAACTCAGCGGCAGAACATCTGTTTTGTGTGCAGAAGGTCCTGGTTCAATCCTTGCTATCTCCAGGTCCAGGTATACTTGCGAGAGACCTCTGCCTGAAAACCCCAGAGAGCTACTACCAGTCAGTGAAGTGAGTAGATGGATCAGCATTCTAACTCAGGATAAGGCCGATTCCTATGTTGCTATATCTCCCCCTCATTTCAGTTCCATCTGTCATTAATCTTTATTTCATCCATAAATCATTGTAGCAGACACCCTCTTCCTAGGCAAGGTGTAATATCTTTCCTACTTTCCCTTTTGCGGTCTAGGTTAGCAGAGATAGAGCTGTCAGGGCAAAATTTCAAAAATAAAGTGAACTTTGGAGCGGTGAATGAAGGGCATTACCGGTGTTTGTGTGCATGCGATGCGCATATACTTACACGTACAGATGGATTTGCATTTCCTGCCTCCTTCCTACTCTCTTTGCAGTGGAACATGGGGACACAAGGAGAAAAATCATTTGGGATCTTAGAGTGCTAGTTTTCAAGTTGCATTCCAGGGAAACCCAAACATCCATGGGAAAGAAATCAAGGGATGCACAAGGAAAAGATTATTAATGGCAGACAAGCTTCCCTAAAAAATGTTGCCCTCCACTTTCTATCTGGGGCAACAGTGTTGGGGGCGTTCTAGGGCACACTCTAGGGCCACATTCACACCATACATGTAAAGCACTATGATAACACTTTAAACAGACATGGCTTCCCCAGAGAATCCCAAATGTAGTCTGTTCAGGGTGCAGGGAGTTGTTAGGAGACCAGTACTTCCCTGCCATAAGTACAGGTCTCAGAGTGATGTAATGACCAGTCCCTCCTTACAGGGAATGCTTGTTTCTCCGGACAGAATAAACTGCAGTAAACCAAAGCATCTTGAAATCCTTGTACAAGGGAAAAGAAACTGCAAAGAATTTGCATAGCAAATCATTTGTGCTTAGAACAATTTACAGTAGTTACAGAACAAAGGACTGTGAGGATCCGTGCTTTCAGGAACAAAGCAAAAGCTCCAACTCCTATTCAGAGACAGGAAAAGCAGAATTCTGCAACCTGCCAAGCTAATCTTGGTAGTTTACAAAATATTGTGGTTCTTTTAAAGAACTTTTTTTTTAGCCAGGAATTATCCAAGGTACATGCATCCCATCCCACCAAATTGTACATCCAGGGTGTGATCCACTGTTGCTTTTTAATCCAAGGAGTGTCTGCTTTGGATTGGGCAAGTGTTACTGGGGAAGAAGGCCCTTAACACACACACACTGAGCATTTCCCTTTACTACTTTTGCTCTGTTCCCAGAGCTATTTGCTCCGGAGAGAGAACCATACAGACACTATAGGTTTCCCTCCTAAGGCATAGAGCGGTGTTCTCCCTCCGAAACAGGAAACTTCACTCTCTCAGAATAAGTCTGATTCCTCCTGCAAATGTGTCCTTTCAATGACTGCCATTGCATTCATGCATAAACACACCAAGAGGCAAGCAGGCATATTTCCATGGGATTACAATGCATTCGCTGTATGCACGGAAACAATTGAAATGGGGTAACATCGTTGAATTTGGCCTATCTGACTTCTGAGATTTCATGAGCACTGTCCTAAGCACATAAGAAGACCCTACTGGGCTAATCTGGTATTCTGTTCTCACAGTGGCCAAACAGATGCTTGCAGGAAGCACACCAACTGGACCTGAGCGCAGCAGCATTCAGCGACTGGTATTCCGAGAGGGATATCACCTCCAACTGTCAACTTAGAACATAGAGATCATAGCCAGTATGATAGCCTTGTCCTCCATGAATTTGGACAATCCTCTTTTAAGTTGGTGGGCGTTACTGCCTTCTGTGGCAGTGAGTTCCATAGTTTAACTATACGCCACATGCTTTCTTTTGACTGTCCTGGATCTTCTAACATTCTGCTTCATTGTCCACACTCTTTTTAATATGGCTTTGCAACCAAAGGGACATTAAAATGTTATATGTATATTTCTTTTTTAAAGATGAAAGCTGAGGATCTTAAGATGCCGAGAGTCTTGTTACTGTTCTGCAACCTGTCAGAATCAACATATACACAAAGCTCCAGGCCGTTATTTTTTTAAAAAAATAAAAGAGTGACTTGTGAGGAATGGCCTCATGGTGCTCTGGATATATGCAGCACCTGCCCCTTGACATTCCTTGTAGGAAAAGTGTCATGTTAGTGTCATTTTACTTGAATCTGTTTGGTCTCAGAATAACACATCATGAGAGTAGTGACTGAAAACACATGCATGCTGCTATCTCTGGAAATAATTAGAGAAGAGACTGTATTATGTTTACTTAATTTGCTCAAGATAGCTGTTTGTCTTAGGAACAGGGGTGAGCCTTGCAAAATTAGTTCGACACAAATTGCTGCTATTTTTGTGCCAACTGTCAGTTCACACTTTATATATATTTTCTCTCTCTCTCTCTCTGCAGATTTGTTTAAAGGAAGTACTGTATTATGGTGTCAACCTAGTTACCAAATGCAGGCATAAATGAAAACACATCTGCTGTGTGTGGCAGAAGACCAAGTTTACTACAGAAAAAAAAATTGAATTAAAAAACTTAATTGCAAATATGATCCTTTAGAAATTAAACACATCTGCAAAGTAAACAGATCCTGTTTAGAACTCTTGATTCATTGCTTCAATTAGCAAGAAGAATCAGGCAGGAGCTGATAATATGAAGTGAGGAAAAAACTGCTTGCTTCTGTCTTTGGTCACATCCATGCTATAACATATACCACTGTACTTTACCTCTCACAGTGCTAGTTCCCATCACTACAGTTTCCAGAATACTTGGGGGAAGCTATGTGCTTTAAAATGTGTGGTGTGGATGCGACCAGATTCTGTTTTGTGTAGAGGTGCTTAATGTATTGTTACAGGCCACCCCCATCTCTGCTGGGTGGTGTGAGATTCCAGGGGTCTTGGCAATTTAAGCATGGTTTGTGTTTCCTCTGGGGAAAATGAGGCACAGCAGAGTCTGAAGTGTCTTCATGAAATATGCAAAGTGATTTGATTGCTACTTAGCACTACCACTCAGGGGGTCCTCTTAATGGCAAGAATAAGTTTGGATCCAACCCAATGTATGTGAAATTAGTTGTTGTTGTTGTTTAGTTGTTTAGTCGTGTTCGACTCTTCATGACCCCATGGACCAGAACACACCAGGCACTCCTGTCTTCCATTGCCTCCTGCAGTTTGGTCAGACTCATGTTTGTAGCTTCGAGAACACTGTCCAACCATCTCGTCCTCTGTAGTCCCCTTCTCCTTGTGCCCTCCATCTTTCCCAACATCAGGGTCTTTTCCAGGGAGTCTTCTCTTCTCATGAGGTGGCCAAAGTATTGAGTGTTGAGAAATTAGTTGAGTGTTGCCTAAATATAGGCCGTGATTTGTCCTTGAGATCAATGTGCGATTTCAATGTGACTTAGGGTTCATATTACTTATTATTGCTTCATTTCCTGCTAAGTCCACATGAATATAGTATTATTATTTTTTACATTATATAGATCTTTTGTGCTGTTGAATACTATACAAAGAGTTTGCTTTCTGTCCTGTACTTGTTTTAGTGATGAATTATTGGTCGAGTCAGCAGATTTTTGATTTGACCGTTTCTAAATGTAATGTAAAAATGGTAATTCAACTGCATGAAATTCCTTACTTCTAGCTGGATCTTCTTTGAAGCAACTTCTGGAGAGGACTCCTTGTTTATACAACATCTCCAAGAAGGTAGATAAAAATATAATTTATTAGCACTTAATTATTGTTGCCAGGGTCTGGCATGTTGACAGAATGCAGTAATGTTCTCTGCACTTGAGAGACTTCACTAGTGCTTGTAGAACCGCTAACAGAATTTTGATCATGATTTACTGCTCTGCATTTCTCAAATCCATTAGGAAAGGAGAGGCAACCCTATTCAGAATATTTAACCCTGAGGGAGGGAGGGAGAAAAACAAAGGCCATCTAGAATCACTTACTCAGCAATGTATACTGCCTGATCAATTGCTATCTTTAAGAGGTGTGCAGTGTTCCATTGCTATCATTTGAAGTTCTTTTGTGGGGGGAGGGAGAGGGTTGATATAATGGGATAGGTTTTCCATACCTGAAGGTAATCAGAGTATTTGATGCTGGGGGGTGAGCAGAAGTGAGAACAGAAGCTTGCTTATGCTTTTCTTATTTTAGAGACACTTGTTCATATTAGAGGACAAAAGCTCAAATAGAAATCTCATTTCTAGTTTTCCATGCTCTTAAGGGATGGTGAGCCTGTGGACTCAAACTCTTATCAGCCCCAGCTAGCAGGATCAATGGTTAGGGTTGGTGGAAGCTATAGACCAGCAATATCTGAAGGGCCTCTGCTTCAGGGCCCCTAATCCTGGAGGGGGCCCAGAAGTGACTTTAGTCCACAATGCTTTAAAACAATGGGTCTAGTAATTTTTTGTTGTATATATTTCAGCAATCCCAAATTTTCAGAGTTGGCAGCACAGATGTTGTAAAAGTTGTGGTGCACAACCCCATTGAAGCGGATATCAGTGGTTACACAGACCACATTGCAGTTCCAGCTTCAGGGGGCCCAAAAATGTAGGTTCACCATTTGCTCTATCCTCTGTCCTTCCTTGACTTTTGCTCTCTCCATAAAGTTGTCTTCAAGCCCAGCTATACAAATTCCTTGCATTTCATTCCTTCAAACTAATATCCTAAATAGCAACCTGGGAAGCTTGCTGGCCTCTTTGACAGTCTAAGGCATTAGCTGTGTGTCTCCTGCATACTGTCTTCAAAGTTACATTGACCACCCCCCTCATTTACTTAACACTGAGTAAAATAAGTTTTGCTTGCTACAGCAACTGAATGAAGGACACAGAGGAATAATGACAGGCCTCATCCCCTCAGAGGGAAAATTGCATTGAATTATAGTAGAAAAATCAACATGTTATAAAAATGTCCCCAGTTGTGTGGTGTTTTTTTTAAAAAAAATCCAATTTTGAAAATGTCCTGTAA